GCCGGGAAGGGGATTAAGCAAGCGAGAGGAGGAAGGGAGGAGGAGGAAGAGGAGGACGAAGAGGAAGAGGAGAGGGATGGTCAAGTGTACGACGAGGGAGGTGCCAAGTGGGTGTGAGGGAGCGATGAGGGCGCGGCGGATAAGGTTGGGAGTGAGGTGCATTACACCACCACCGCTACCACCACCACTATCAAGTCAAGACGAAAAGGAAACAGAACTAACTGCTGCTGGCGCTACTGCTGGCGTTACTGCTGGCGTTACTGCTGGCGCTACTGCTGCTGCTGCTGCTGCTAGCGCGCAGAACACATCAGACACATCAGCAACATCCCTCCTGCAGCACCCCTCAACAAACAAGGAGCCCTTCCCCTCCTCTCCCCCTCTCCAATTCCGTTTGCATGCCGTGTCTGGTGTCATGAGCACATGATATGTGATGATTGATAAGTGGTTTCCCTCAGCTTCACGTGTCCTCTAACTCCTTACCGCCGGGTTCACCCCCCTCCCCGCTACCACCCCTACCTTACTCACTACCGCCACAAGCTCTCTCCCCAACCCCACTACAGGATACCCACAGCCCACCTTGACGATGGCCGCCACGAAGCGCTCTCCATCCACCTCCAGCAGCTGCTGCACGGGCCTGAACTCGGGCTCGTCCTGCGGTGGCGGAGGACATGGGAGAAGGTGGGAGCGTAGAGGGTGACAGGGTGTGATAGGATGGATGGGGAGAGCGGGGCCACTAGGTGGCAGTCAGGTTCAGGTGAGGGACGGCAGTACATGGGTGGTAAGACGAATGATTGACGAATGATTGACGAATGGAGCAGATACCAAACATAGGGGGAGAGGGGAGGGGGGAGGATAGAGGACGGGGAGGGGCGGGATCGGGCGTGAGGTTGGAAGGTGAGCTGGCTCTGACTGGCAGATGTAAGACAGGGAATTGGACGGTGCAGCCGTCCCAGCAGTGCGCCAGTAGTTTTTGCAGCGGCAGTAGTGGTCGGGGGATGTGGTATTACGTGTGTGTGTGTATGTGTGTGTCTGTGAGGGGGTGTTTGAGGCCAGGATTGAGGCGGGATAGCTCCAGGTGCTCAACGTCCAGAACCTCCTTAGCGAGTTCGCGACGCCCTTGCTGTGGCTGGCGAATGCAGACAGTGTCTCACCCGAGAGGTTGGGGCCCAGGCCCTCACGCAAGGTGCATAGCCTGCAAGTCGCAGGGATGTGCGTAGAGCGGACGGTCAAATGTGACACGCATGCAGCCCGGACAGTGAGGCAGTGTACCAGACATCCTCGTGCGCAAACGCCAGGTCAAATGTCTTACCTATTGCGGCTATGGTGGGAGGCCAAGTAACGGAGCAAGCGATGTGAGTAACTGAAGCATTGTTCAGCCAGTACCTGCAGGACAGGGATTCCAAGTGAAGCTCGGGTGACAATAAGCGATGTAGTTATTGATATGGGAAACATATGCTACGTAAACTACAGCTCCAAATACCTCAGGGGCGAGTCATCCGGAAAGAAGGTCTCCATCCTCCTCCTCTTTGCAACCGGCGATTATAATTGTGCGATAGCCATGGGGGTCAAAACGGGCATGTCAAGTGCAACATCATTACCAGTATTGTCAACCTGACTCTACCTTGAAACGGGCAAAACGTACTTTGTATACGGCTTTCCTCAACAATTGTACCAATGGCCATTCCTACCTAGCTATACTTGAAGTTATCTGTTGTCATATCCCTTTGCATAATTTGTCATGTCAAGTGTAAAGCACCATCGGGGTTTCCCCGAGCAAACAAGTGCACGGCTGGCAAGCGCGCTTACTGCCTGTGCAGCACAAGCTGGGGTTTACGGCGCATGTATAAAGAAGATCGTGCCGGAGGTCCGCCTGAAACAACGGCACTAGTCTGCCTGCCGGTAGTTGTTCGTTTTCCTGCTTCAAACGTCTTCTTTTTTGTTCAGGTCGATATTGGCGTTTGTAATCGCGAATTCCAAGACCTAAAAGCCTGTTTCACGCGTGCGGTAAGTGGGATCTTATACCGTGTTTGGAGGGTGGTTGGGAATTAGGGTACTGAGCTTTCCCCGTTCCCGGTAATCTTCCGCGCCGATTGTTGGATGCCCACCGCAGATGCGTCGAGGATCAAGTCGAGCCTAGATTCATCAAGCGCAATGCAGCGCCATGCTCTGGGTTAATCCAGCAAAACACCCCGCTTTACCACTTGCGTGAGCTACTTGCTTCTTTCCCTGCCACTTCTGTTGGCGAGATACTAAATGGACCGCTTCGGAACCAAAATCACGCCGCCGAATGGGAAGGATGAGTCTTGCGTCTCCTTTTCCATTGCAAGCGCGACTTAACTTGTATATCTGGATCGACATATCGTCGCCACATGCAGTAAATGGTTCGCCACACTGCTGCTCAAGTAGCGTCTATGACTGACCCACCAACTGACTGACTGACGGACTGCTGCGACCACACGTCTCTTGTCTTGTCGCTTACTTAATAAACTTGCGTCTGTGTAGTGAGTGCGTGCTTAGTCGTGGCGGTGATGGTGCTGGCGACCTTGTTCGTCCATACGTCTCGGAACACCTCTAGGATTGTAAAATGAAAGTGTGTATGATGTGGGGGACAGGGGGCCATATCTTCATCCGTGGCCGCTACCCGGCGAAACCCTGCCTTCCCCGGTATTTCGGGGCACCCTCTCATCCAGTCACCCTAGCCAACTTCTCAGTGGATCGCTCAGGTTCCACACCCCACCACCGTCACCCACCAACGGTATTTGCCGGATCTACGGCCGCTCAACTCCAATCCTGGTCAGCTCGCAAGACAACTTTATTCCAGGCCACCATCGTCCATCGGCTAGGGGCACTTTACCCTTCGTGTTACAAAACAGCGAGCAGACTCTGCAACCAGACGTACACAGACAGCAGTGTCCAGTTCCGACTTAGGACACTTCGTAACGCGATCGATCACCTGCGTTCGACAACTTCACAGGCGCGCACTCTTCATAGTCACCCCCAAAAACTTCAGCTGCTTGCCGCTGGGGCAGATCCAGACGCCATACCAGGCTCTGCAACACACAAAACATCATTGTCCCGCACATCTCGAGAATCCATCATGGACAACACGGGAAGCTCTCGACTTCTTGTTCAATAGGCGCGAGTTCAACTCTGACATCGGGTTAAAACCCGGACAAGACAACGATTGTCAAGACTTACTTAAACATCAATGGTTTCCGTTCGTAATAGAAAAAGTCTTCAGGAAACAAGAATTCTGCATCCCCGCAGTCCTGTGCGAAGTGACCCGTCTGGTGGCAAAGTAAACACTGTTTTTTTGACCGCAATACCTTCGACTGATGCGAGTTCAAGCCACGAACCCAAATCGACTTGGCATTGCCGGTTGGGTTCATGAAACGCTCTGACCATGGAATGCAGTCTGGCATCGTCGAACCAAGGCGCTGCCGCTTAACCTCGGAGTCAGGTCGCTGGCCCCCCCCAGAGACCGAACGAATACGGCGGGTACCTGAGACCGATGCGCCCGCACCGAACCCCGTCGACCCGGACGGTGTAGACGCCAGCGACTTGAGCTCCTCAGCGCAGGATTTAAAGACCTGCAGAAACGACGGAAGACTCTTCCACGGCACCGGGACTCCTGAGGACCAGTCATTCATTAACCTGTCCTTGAGCTCATCCGGAAGCAGGGTGACCAGGTGGTAAATGAAGATGGAGTCCGGTGTATTGGCCGGCATTTCACGACGCAAGTCACGCAGCTGTTGAAGACCTTCCTCCACAGACCGTAATGGTTTGGCTTCGAAGAATTCACGCATCCGAAGAAGCGCATTGTAGACTGGTGGTTCTTCAGGTAAACCGACAGCATCCTTGAACCACGCCAGCAGCCAGTCCGCACTCGGAATGGCCTTGTTGGTAAAGGCTCCCAACGCTGAATAAAGATCCATCACTAAACGCGGAGGTCCTACGCTAAGTAGAACCCAGGCGGTTGCGACTGGATCAGGAAAGGAGTATCCGGCCAAGAAGAGATGGGCTTTCAGCTCGAAGACCGTGTGGTCCAGGTAGTCCGCCATGCGGAGCTGAGCCAGCTCAGCACCTTCATCAGATATCAGCCAACGCCTGTCAGGTAGTGGAAGCTTCAAAGAACATGGCCGCTGACCATTGCCGAGTGGCGGAGAGACAGGCATTGCAGCGCCAACCCCGCCAGAAGCCGGAGCCGCCACAGGAACAACTGGGTGATCAATTGGCAAAGACTGGGACTGCGACCCAGACGGCTGATTTGGGTGTGGAGGCGCAGTCGTCGACGGAAGCGGCGAAGTAACAACATTCGCGATGGGATCCACCGGAGCCGTAGTATCCATTATAGGCGACATAGTGGCGATAATTGCGGCGAGCGAACCGTTTGGAGAGGGGATCGACGAGAGAGCGAGAAAAATTGCCGCAATTACAAATCCCAAGAAAGAAAAGTTTAACCGCCTCGGTACCAATGCAAGGTCTGTCCTTCATCACAAGCAGTCAATGCGGGTGTCAAAAGACACCGGATGTGATACATCAGCGAACGATGTGCGACCCATGTTATTGTACGACGTCGTAAAAAAGAAAGTCTTGAGAATAGTTACCTGAACCCCTTTGGTGAAGCTATGAGAATCATTCAGAGATATGTAAATGATCTTGCACGTTATACAAACGAAAGCAGTGACCATCCCGAAAGAGAAGCAAATGGCTGCTGCAATAATAATTCTTGATGGCACCACATGAGGCCGCGACCGGTTTCCCGGCCTTAAGGTTGATCCGTTGTTGCCCGGCCCATAATCAAATGGTGTTCTGATAAGCAATTGTCTATGGAATATTTGTACTTCCGATTCGAAGAAACAGGTTTTGCGGACTGCGATTACAAAGACTCGGGGCCGACTACAATTTCTCGCGCTTAGATGAGCAGCGTGCACTATAAACCTGTAAGTATATTCTTGGGAAGTATTTCTGGCTTGATGCGCGTGGCGAGCCCGACTCCATTAACGAACCCAGGGCGGGATTCCACCGGCTTGCGGAGTCCGCGCGCGGCTACATATCTAGGTGTGGACGCTGAAAACATTCTCAGTTGCAGAATGTGCGAGTGACGCTCTATTAACGGCTCCGAAGCGACACGCATGAAAAGGTGCACATTACTACAGTTCGGGGTTGCCATTACGGATTTGCCATACACGAACTGTAGGCATATACCAGCAAGTGCGTGCAGGCACAAGTTAGCGACATTTATAGCTGGTTGCAAAACAAATTGCGGGATGCGAGGCGAAGTGCGGTCTTGCGTACTGCTGAAGTCGCAAGTCGCAAGTTGCAAGTCGCAAGTCGCAAGGAACACGCAAAATTTCTATTATGATATAATATATACGCGAATACGTACGTGTGCATACTCAGTTTGTAGAGCGGATCTCACAATGGGAGAGGTATTGAACCGTTACTACTACAGCAAACAAGTGCGCGAACGTGTTTGCCACCTCTATTTCGACGAGGGTTACACGCAAGCGCAAATAGCTGAGGCTTTCGGGCACAGACCTTGCGAGAGGACTGTGCATGCTATCATAAAGTCCTACGTGGCGAATGGCGATGTCCTGCCGCTTAGAGGACAAACAGGAACACGCAAACCACGCAAGTTTGATGAGATCGCTGCACAGACGCTGGTGGAGCTGGTGCAGGCCGACGACCAAGCATTGCTCGCCGATCTGGCCACCGCTATGACAAACTTACTGGGCACTCTTTGGAGCGTCCCTGACATTAGCCGTGCATTGTCTGAGCTCGGTTACGTCCGCAAGAAGGCTTTTACCAGGGCATACGAGGCACGGGAATCAGCTCAGCTGGCATATCGCGAGCTTGTGTGACAATATGTTCAAATGGCCCAGAAGCCTCCCACTCTGTAACAATTCAATTCAACTTCGTGAGCTTGTGCGCGCGTGTGTGTGTGTGTGTGTGTGTGTGTGTGTATGTTGCAAGTATTTGACCGTGCCTGAAACTGGCCAGGGACTGCTGCCCAGCCCCAACAGAAAGACCACCTAAGCTCCTCCCGCAGACAGGAGAGGGGCGTAAGGGGCCTCTGTCCCCTCCTAGGCAGCCGAGAGCCGCAGGTCCACTAGTTCCGCTCTCCTCCCCCGGGGGTCAAGGCTCCGTCACGCGAGTTTGAGCACTGAGCCTGAAACACACAAGAAGACTGGCTCTTGGGGTGAGGGTTCAAGAAGACCGAGGAAACCCGGAAACCCTGTACAGACCCTACCCCTCCCTATTAAGGCACCAGGCCCTAATAGAAAGCTCGGTCTCTCACCCGATTCTCCGTTGCTTGCCCGCAAGGGGCATGGGGGAGTGGGCAGGGTTCATTGTTCGTGCTGAAATCCATAATGACCACCTGAAATCGCCATGCCCCAATGTTTGCATCAAATGCTTATATGTTTCCGGTTAGGCTGTTGGGAGTTAGAGATTAACCAACCTAACGGCCATGAGTGCACAGCATGCACCTGCAGGCTTTGTGACTGCGGGGCGGTTGAAGACGAAATGCATGTCTTTGTGGAATGCCTGGCGTACATTAGTACACGGGCGAACATGACGCGAGGGTGGATGATGATGGTCCACCATGTAACCGCCCAATTTACCGCCCATGGGCCCCCCAGCTCTTACGGACACCCCCACACTTGTGTGGAACTTGTGCGGACTAGGCTAGTTCCTATCAGTCCACCGCCGGGGCTAGGGATGCCTCGAGGCAGTGTGGTTACAGTGGGCTCCAACACACAAAGAGTACAGCCAGCGGGCCAGCAGGCCGTGCACTGCACCTGATACGATGAGGGCAAACAAGACTCCCACCCAGACCAGACAACACAAGTCACCTAGACATCCAAAAGCAAATCCAAGGGCAGGCTCAGAACCCGCAACCACAGGGGAATTTGCAATTAGACTCCCCGATTGGCGAAAGTCCTCGGAACCCCACCAGAAGGCCCATAAGCAAATACTGCTAAGAACTTGATGAGATACATTAAGCAAATACTGATAAGAACTAGATGAGGTCTGAGTGAGCTTGTGCGTATGAACAGCTACATTGCATTGCTCAGACAGCTACATTGAACTGCTCAGACAGACGAAGCCACATAGGCCGCAAGCCACTTCAGCATAGTTACGCCTGCGATCGGCCATAGCCCGCAGACGCGGACGCCGCAAATGCTATCTGTTTACACCCTACAGGCGTGGTTCACGTACGTATTCGCGTATATAGAATTTCATATAGAAATTTTGCGTGTTCCTTGCGACTTGCGACTTGCGACTTGCGACTTGCAACTTTAGCAGTACCCGCAATTTGTTATGCAAGCAGTCACCTCGCACCCGCAATTTGTTATGCAAGCAGCCATAACTAAGCGACAAACTAAGCGAAGCGAAGCGAAGTTTAGACACAGAAATATCCCAGAGGACCCAAAGCTCCAAGGGAAGGAGAAAAAACCCAAAGTTTCTCCAAATATTTATTAGAATAGACACATTGCATGTTTCTGAAAGTGCACCCACGACGGCTGACTACTGAGCTATGCCGGCGTCCCCGGCAACAGATTTTCTTAGGGCCGGGGCTTTCCTCCGTAAACATGGCATAGCTCTGACTACTTGTCGCAACCGCGGAGTTTCAGAAAACCAACCGAAAATCGCTGTAAGCCCCTTTTCACAAACAGAAAGTTCACAAAAATAACTTGGATGCAGAAAGGATGCGCATCGAACAAATCAACCCGTGCGCTGACAAGTAGGATCCATCAACAGTTACCGCAGTTCCTTCCGAAAACAAAATATTCAGTCGATCCGGAGGAAAAGGGCTCATCCTTCAGGCCTCCCATCCAAACCACACAAACCGAAGCAAAACAAATATACCTTAATTAAGATATTGTTGAGGAAAGAGGACAGGCGTCTTGGTTATGCGCGTGCGTCCGTATTTCGCAAGCGAGCAAGTCGATTCACGTATCCGTCCCAGATCAGCGCGAGATAGCGCGCTGGCTGGGTTCGTCCGGGACGCAAAGCCCAGGTCACGTTTCGTCCCGTCCTATTTTTTTTGCGCACGACGACGGCCTATCGGCAGACCCCCATCTATCAGCCCATTTCACCGGAATAGTCCAGCCAGCGGTAGCCGCGACCGATCGCTGTCACGCATTTTCGCCCACCACCACTTGCTGGCTGGCGCTAGCAGCGCTAACCGACCGGTGGTATCCCGTAATCTGGTGCGCAAGCGCGCCTGCCGAGCGACGGGTCAAGCAACCAGCCTGCTTCCGGCCCATCCGGTCTGCAAGCTACACGGCACCCACGCACCCACGCACAAAGGAGGTAGAGCTGGCATATTTCCGGCTGACCCACCCAGCCGCTTTCCGTCCTCGAAAAAACTTTTAAAACCAAGAAGATCCGCCCGAGGGAGGCTGTTGGTGCTGCTATTTCCATTACTTCTGGCGCCCATTCTTGCTTCGGTTATCTAAGAGCACAGATACTACTGTTACTACTACTCAGCAGATACATACATACATACCCACCTACCTGAGACACCCCCGTTGCATCGTGCCGTCCTCTACATTATTACCTTTAGTCGTCCATATACATCTACATCGTTTCTCTTGGCGCCATTGCAGGTCCGAGAGCTGGTCTTTGTTTTACACAAAAATGTATAGGTTTGTGGTGCATGCATGCATGCATGGGTGCATGGGTGCGTGTGTGTGGCCCCCTTCAATCGCTTGCTTGTGGAAGCATTAAGGCCCTGCATAACGATAACCTTGGCAAACACATGTGTATACACCCCAACCCACATGCCGATCCAAACAAAACCGCACGCACGATGCGGCGGCAGGCGCCCGGTCGCCAAAGGGCGGGAGCGGCCGCTGCTGGGGCAAGCAGGATTACACGCTATTCTAGGCAACAGCGATGGAGTAATAATACCACATGTTATCGGCATGGGAACGCCCGAGCGATCTATACATGGTCTAGGCCATACTCTAGGCCATACTCTAGGCCCTCGTTGATTGCGACGTTTTCGACATCTAGATATTGTTGATAGTTAAAGACGAGTCGGTCTCTTTGAACAAGACGGATGACGCGACACTGAATTGACCAATTTTTGTGGCGCGAGCAGGACCTGCGGCGGCGGCACCTGCTGCCTGCTGTGCGGGACCACGTCGTGCACAACGGCCGCAGGAGGAGTTTGCCTGCTGCGGCCTCTGCAATGTCCTTCGTGCGCGTCCGTAGCATCAGCGGTGCTCGGCGGGTGGAAGAGCCCTAGAGTGTATGTGCCGCACACCCCGCTACCTGCAGCCCGCCTCACGCCACGCCGCGCGCGCCGGGGAGCACTTTTGTTTGCCTACTTTTTCCGAAAGGCAAGTCATCACACGTTGGCTTCCTACTCTTGTAGGAAAATGTGTCAGGTGAGGTATAAGTCACAGTTTTAGGATGCCTTTTGTGTTTTAATAATTAAGAACATCTTGGAGAGTTTCCTGGCTTCAAATTAATCTTAAGGAAACCCCAAGAAAGTAATTGAGTTTACCTGTAAATGATTTTTAGGTGTGATGGCAAGCAAGGGAATTTCGGAAGGACGGCGAACGTTCGAGGATAAAGAAGGAGAAAAAAATTATTTATAACTAATATACATTAATATGATATTATAAAAATTCATATTAATGTATATTAGTTATAAATAATTTTCTAATGTTCCCTAAATAATGAAATCCCAACGGAGGGCGCCCTGCGGAAAGGTGTTCCCATCAGGGTTGCCATTTGACACATCTTGTTGTGTGGCGGGCTTCGTCTAATAGGCAAGGGCAATGATGCTCTCAGTCTCAGTGGGTTAGTGGGGTCCGTGGCAAGGCTGTACGATTATTGTACGACACCGATTGGGATCCGTCCATGTGCGTTCCTTCCACATCAACAAAAACCGCTTTTCACGAAGACCATGCATCCTCTGTCACATGAGGCTGTCCATCACCATTTCTTCTTTGAGAACCAATTTCAAAAATGCTTTCGCCGTTCCAGCCCTTTGAAGACGATACTGCCTAAGAGAGCGTGTTTCTTGACCCCATCCCCTGCTCCCCATCCATCCATCCATCCCCATTATCCTTCACCGCTGTCATCTCCATCACCACCACCAAGCCTGTAGCATCCATCCCCCCTCGATAACACGCGACTCCGCATCCATGCCCTTCCCTCCGGCCTTTTACCATTTACCAGCTTTCCCACCACGTTGATTGGACACTAGCCAGGTGAGCGTGCTTCGCTTCCGCACGTAGTCGTATTTGCGCTCAACTGTTCCTTAGTTCGTTCAAGGGGGGAGGGTCATCGGACATTTCACGGTCGTCGGGACCGTCGCCGTCACCTCCACCACTATGGTCCCTCCAGCAGCGCTTCGGGGTATACATCAAATTTCCAGCAACATGCAATATGCACCCTTCTTCCCCTCCTCTGTTCAGCAAGATAACTTCTAGTTGGGGGCGTTTTAAAGAGCTCTTATCGTCATCAAATGTTTTTCCTTTCTCATGAATGATCCCTGCTTGCCTTGCCGCCCTCCCTCCCTCCCTCCCTCCCCCCCGCCCTCCACCGCTCCCCCACCACAACACTGCCGCTGCGATATGGAGGCTGTGGACTCGTACGAACGAACGAACGTAAGAACGCACCGACCAGCAGCAACAGCACTGCCGTCGTCCTCGTCGGAGGCCGCTCCTGGTGGTGGAGGGAAGGTTCCTTTAGTACGACATCAGCTCCGACTACTGATGAGTCGCAACCACCATTACAGCAGCAGCCGACACAACTGAGGACGCCTTCCCAGGCATACATACATACATACATACATACATACGCAAATCCTCCTCCGCTACATGAGCATATGGAAACAACTCAGCCGCTGCTACAGTCGCCGCACCGCTTGGCCGTACAGCAGCCCGGCGCCGCCGCCGCCGCCGCCGTAGCTGCCGCTGTCGCACACGGAAAGCAACCAGCAGCTGCGGCCGCCGCCAGTCAGGAAATGACGGCGGGCTGGGTCCCACTGCTGTCGATGCAATGCCCGCCTCCGGCTTCACAGCTGCCGCCGCAGTACGGCATAAAAATTACCGGACCCCCTAGACCGCCGCTTCCGACAGCAATGCCCGGGGCTGTCAACAGTGCCCCCGGTGCCGTCAATCGGTCTGACTTATATGACAATAATAACATCTCGTGGAGTCAGGGCTGGTACAGCGAACCTGAACCTGCCGTACAGCCCATGTACGACGACCATGCTGCTGCTGCTTCTGCTGCAGCGGCGGCGGCGGCAGGAACCAGCGATGACGGTGGTAGTGGCGCCGCCGCTGCTGCCGCCGCCGGAACCTCTCGCAAGCGGCAACTGTCGTCGACCGCCACCCACAACGAAGCCGATATCGTCAGCTTGGGGGACGCGGCCCGGATGCACAAGGCCAGGGCACACCAATTTCTCCAGCGCCAGCAACCAGGTGTCGCGTCGGTACTGGCCGGTGCGGCGGCGGCGGCGGCGGCTTCGGCTTGGCGAGTGGAAGCTGTGGATGGTGAGCCGCGTCATCTAGGGGCTGACAGTGCGGATGTGCATGATGTAGAGATGGCGGCGGTGGCGGTGGGGCCGGGGGGAGAGGCAGCGACGGCGGAAGCTCCGCCGCCGCCAGGTGAGCCACATTCGAACCTCAGCAGCAACACCGGCATTGCCGTACAGGGCAACGAGCCTCACCCTGGGACTGGTGGTGGCGGCGATGGCAGCGGCAGCGGAGGATCTGGAGGAGGCCATAACGCGAACCTGTACGGCGTACTACGGCCGCCATGCCATGTTCCGATAGAGCCGTACGACGCGTCAGCCACGGTGATGGCAGCTGCGGCACCGACTGGCGCGGCAGCGGCAGACGCGACCGTGACTGCTGCTGCCGCCGCCGCCGCCGCCGCCGGCCCCTCTGCAACAGGTGCAGCCGCCGCAGCACGAGCCCCGCCAGCCCTGGCAGCAGCGTCAACGCCGTCCGAGGATAGCACCTCTCAGAGCATGAACGCGGCGTCTGGAGCTGCTGCTGCCGCTGCCGCCACTATGCCCCCGTCTGCAGCTGCAGCTCCTCCACATCACACATCCGCAGGTCGACCCCGGGTAAGCTTCGGGAAGAGCGGGAGATGCATCCCTGCGCACGGCTAAGACTAAGCATCGGCATAAGTATAACCTCGATCTATGCAAGGGGAGGGGGGTTCTGCTATGCCTTGGCTGTAGCTAGGACCGAAATATTACAGATACAACAGGGAAATTCCACGCGGCGCACCCGCCCATATGTATGTACGTCTGCGACAGTAAAATTGACATGAAGCCTAGATGAAAGCAGCCGATGGACGGCCAGGCACACCAGCTCTAAGCAACCTTGCCTCTGCAGGGCGCAAAACCATGGCAGTCCAGGGAGGAAGCCGCGGCCTTGCGATGGCCCTGAGGTGGCCGCGGTGGCTGGAACGTGACGTAGGATGATCGTGAGATCGATGTGCCCTTCTAAAAACGCGTACGGTGCCTCACGGCCGATCTCATGGATCCAACTCGCGCGTCGTGGTTCCTTTTGACGCTGGGGTGCGGGGACGTGCCGTACGAACACAGTCGGAGAGACACACATCCGACCAAGTGTGACTATACAAAGAGAAACATGTACGGAACATGTACGGCGTTAAGCTGGCGGATCTTACATCCGGTCTGCCGCTTCTGCCCCGCCCACCCCACTCACATGCACCTTTTCATCTCCGGGACGCCGTACAGAATGCCCCCGCTGCGTCACAGCAGACGCCTAGGCCTCCAACGGCGACGGCGACGGCGACGGCGACGGCGATGGCGACGGCGCCCCTGGTATTGGCGCCCATCGACGGGGCCAGCGGTGGCGGCGGTGCACTCGCTGACTACGGCTCCAACCCTAGCGCCCAGCCAGACGTCGCACCTCACGGCAGGGGTGCAGCGGTGCAGCCTTTTCCGCAGCCGAGCAATACCGTGTCGTACCGCGACCTGCCTGAGATCATTACGAGGCCCGCCACGGTGGCGGCGGCGGCGACGTCGCCCGAGGTGTTGCTGTCGCCACCGCCGCCGCCGCCGCCGCCGCCGCCGCTGGATTCCGGCGTTCCAGCTTCCGCGCCGCAGCTGCTGCTGCAAGGTGTTCTGGGTCGCTCTCTGTCAGACATGTCCGAGTACGGCAACGCTCTGCGTTTCTCCAATCCAGGGGTCCTGGTGGCGTGGAACCAACCGCCGCCGCCGCCGCCGCTGCTGCCGCGAATGCCGCTCCCGCCGCTGCATCTCCCGCAACCACCCATGACGGGGGCTGCACCCGGGTTCCGCCTGCAGCTGCCGTTGGCCCCCTTCGCTGCCGGCGGCGGCACAGATGGCGGCGGCAACGGCGGAGGTCGCCCTGACGTCCTCGGCAGCTGTGGCGGCGGCCCTGAGGGACCAACTCATCCCGGAGTGCTGATCCTCCCGCCTGCAGCTGCACGAGGCCGCTATGTGGCCAGGTACGGCATGTCCGCCCCACCTCCCCACCTCCCCACCTCCCCACCTCCCATGTATGTATGTCGCAGGACAACGACCCCCGAGGGTCCCGCTGGAGCCGTACTTCGGAAGAGCCGCTCCGATGCCACCGTACAGTACAGCAGGCACCTCGCCCAGCTGCAGCCCCATCAGCAACAAAACCTCCAAACGCAACAGGCCCTGGTGTCCGTACAGCACCCCCAGCAGCAGCAGCTGCAGCCATTGCAACCCGTGCAGGCGCAGCAGCAGCAGCAGGTACAGCAGCAGCACAGTACTGCGCAGCTGCAGGCGATGACGGGGTTAACCCGTCACGAACCACCATTAGCGGCACCGTTGCTGTCGCACCAGTATGGTACGGCAGTATGGCCCACGACAGCAACCCCCGTACGGCCTGGTGCAGCAGGTCACGGCGGCGGGTCTATGGGTGCGCCACCTGGGTGTACGGCAGGTCCACCGCGCTCACTGCCGCCACTCCACCCCCCGCAGATACAGCAGCAGCAGCATTACCATCAGCAGCATTATCTGCAGTATCAGCAGCAGCATTGGGAGCAGCAGTGCGTGTCGACAGCAGGATGTGACTCCGGCGGTGTGGGAGCGGGCCTTTCAGGCAGTGGAGTTGCGCCGGTCCGTGCATGGCAAGGTCATCCTCTCGATCCCCACCGGGTGCAGCTACCGTACCTCAGTCTGGGCGACCGTTATGACCTCGAGATGGATTCTTCGATGCCGCCACAGCCGCCACATCCGCATCAACAGCAGCAGCCGCATCTCGAAGGCCAGAGCCCTTCGGGGATGCTACCGCCGCCACAACCGCGGCAACAGCAGCAACAGCAGCATCCGTTGCTACAGCCGCCGCCGCCGCCGCAGCAGCAGCAGCCGCATCCACTTGTGCTACAGCACCTGAAGCAGGAGCCTTACCTGCACCATTCTCCACGGGCACCATCCCGCCAAGATCAACAGCACCATCATCAACAACAACAGCACCATCATCAACAACAACAGCACCATCATCAACAACAACAGCACCATCATCAACAACAACAGCACCAGCACCAGCACCAGCCGCCAGAACCGTCATATGAGCGGCAGCAGCTGCCACAACAAGGTGTCGAGGGCTACCCCGCACCGCCTCCGCGACCGGGTGTTACCGCGGCGCCACCAATGCAGCGCACCACGCAGATTGCGAATGACGCGCACATGCCCTTAACGTTCACGCTCCTCTCACCGAGCGGGCCAGCTCCTTTCCCCTTTCCGTACGATCCGTACAACAACCCAGCGGCGCCATCGCTTCCTGTCGGGCCTCTGGGCGACCAGCATATGGCGTCCTGTCGGCTGCATGCGGCAGTTACCGCCGCCGCTGCCGCCGCCGCCGCCGCTGCCGTCAACACCGGTGGAGGTGATGCCACGGGGACCGACGGCGCGGCCGGCACCCGTCGGCGCCGTCGGCGGAGTACGGAGGCCGATGACGAAGTACCCCGCGGCGAAAGCGGCGACAACAGCCCTCCGCATGCGGATCATGAACGGCCTCGGGGCAGTTTGACTGGGAGTAGCTGCATGACTGGGGCTTCGGAAAGGGTGAGTGCAGGTGGTTTTCGGAGCGCATGGGGGTGTTGTGCGGTCGTGGGGGCGTGGGGGCGTGGGGGCGTGGGGGCGTGGGGGCGTGGGGGCGGATTTCTTCCCTGGTGGTGGGAACGGCATTTCTACCCCGGTGAACCCCTGGTCACCTGCAGCTGCTGCTGGTGTGATTTTCTGCCACCATGGTGCTCGTACACATTGCTCTTACACGCAGCCTCTACAGGAATCAACACATGTCCACACGCTCGCATCCTCCTCACCTCTTGGGTGCTTGTGCTTGTGCTTCGGTTCGCACAAGCTCGCACAGGCGCGATTGTTCTCTCGCATCCGTACAGTCGTACAGTCGTACAGTCGTAACTCGCGCATTTGCACACTCACAAAACTGCGAGCGTCCCACGCGCACTGCTCACCCGCAATCGGTTTGCCTGGTGTGTATGTATGCGTGTGTGTATGTTTGTGTGTTTGTGTTGGCTAGGGTACTGTGCTGGGATGGTCCGGGGGGTCGGGGTTGTGGGGGGAAAGGGCGCCATCACCCCCCCCCCCACCCACACACACACGGCTAAACGTCTGTTAAAGGACGGGGAACTAGAATCAGCATCATAACACAGAGCAGCCTTCCCGCCTTGCCTTTTGGTTTGATTCCCGTTTTCGCCTTCTCGTTCGTTCCTCCTGAACTACAGGCTGCATCTCTTTTACCGTTTCCCAACTCTGCTGTCCAACTTTCCTCCTGTGCGGTTTGCGCGTTCCCAGGGTCATGCGCTATTCGGCGCCGCGGGCGGC